CGGGGCACTGGGAGCGGGGCACGGGGATCGGGGCACTGGGATCGGGGCAGTGGGAGCGGGGCACTGGGAGCGGAGTCGGGCCGCACTCACGATGCGGCAGGGCGAGCGGTTCTCGTTGACCAGCGGCTCCAGGCACAGCCGCTCGATCAGCTCGCAGGGCAGCAGAGCGGCAGCCGAGTCTTGCTTGTTGGCCAGCCTGGGGCACGGAGAGAGCGGCTGTCACCGTCACCCCGGCCCCGGCGCCTCGCTGTGCGTCTGTGGGGCTGCGTGTACTTTCTCCCGGTTTGGCTAGGATCCGGTGAAGCGCTCAGCCGGCACCGGAGCCCCTCCTCGCCTCCTCTCCACGGATGCTCCGATGTCCCGGGCGCTGCGGGCCCCTCGTGTCCCCGCGCCCCCCGGCAGCTCCCTGGGCACCACATCCCCGCAGCATCCCCAGCTCAGGTTCCGGCCCCTCACCCCAACCTCACAGGCCGCGTCCCGGTCTTACAGCAAGAGGGGCTTTCCGGAGACGTCAGGATGGCTCAGGACGCGGCTCAGGACCTTGCGGGCCTCCTCCATCCGAGCCAGGTCACCCGAGTCCAGCACGAAGAGGAGCCCGTGTGCCTCGCTGTAGTGGCTGCGCCAGGCGCTGCGGGAGCGCTGGGCCCCGGGCAGCTCCAGCAGCGTCACCTCGAAGCGATCCACCCGCAGGCGGCTCTGGCCAGGCTGCGCATCGGGCAGCGCCTCGCCGGCCAGCACTGGGCGTGTGGAGAGGGCACAGAGCTGGCACAGGAGCCCAGGAGCATCCCTGTGCCGTGTGCCCTTCCTGCCCCAGCCACATCCCCGCTCCCAGGGCTGCCCGGACACGGCCGGTGCCCTCCCAGAACAGCGGCTGCACTTCAGAAGTCTCGGTCCTTTGGTTTCAAAGGACCGTGAAGTTGCTGCCGCCGCCTGAGGCTGGCCCTGGGTCGTGCTGCTCCTCACCTCTCTCTATGTCCACGATGACAGAGGTTTTCCCTGCATTGTCCAGCCCCATGACAAGGAGGGTCACCTTTCTGGGGAGAAACAGCAGCAGGTGAGCATCCCAGAAAAAGGCTGTGCTCCCTGGGGAGCAGTGACCACTGCTGGCCCCCGGGCAAAGCACCCTGCCCATGGCAGCTACATTTCAGCCAGGAGAGAGGCAGGATGGTGACACAGGTTCTGTCTCAGCTGGGGACAAGTGCAGGGACAATCCCTGGTGCACGGCAGAGGGTGAGGACAGGCACAAGTGCCTGGAGCCACCCCAACACCATGGGACAGCCACACTGCAGAGCCTTCAAGGTGCTTCCTGTGGCAAAGATTTCTTTTCAAATCATATAGGATTAAGCAATCATATGCACAGGCCAGCATTCTTCCTTATATGCAGTCAGTGATTACTCCTCCCTTGCAGGAAGTTTTGAACATACCCAGCTAGGGAAAGGTAGCATGGATGATTTTATGAGCTTCTGCTCAGACTCAGGTGTTTTTCCTGTTGCTAAACAGTCCTGCCCACTCTCCAGCAAAATGATCCACTAGGGCCACACAGATATTTTCTCAGCCACTGATAAGCCACTGCAGTTATTCGCAATACCATTTTCTTCCTTTAACATATACACCAGGCTGCATGGCCAGTGGAGGTGGCACGGCTCCACCTCCAGCATTACAGCAGGTGAGGTGCCCATTCTGGAGGGACAGGACCATAAACCTCCTTGCAGTGTCCCAGGGAATTAACCTGGATGTCCTGATACATGCAAACAAGGCAGGCGTTTCAGTGCATCCTCCCCAGCTTTCCTGGGGAGCTGCTGCCTCTGCAGAGCTGGCATCCCCGTGGAACCATTCCCTGCATTGCATCCCTGCCCAGCCTGCTTCCCTGCCTGCAGCTCCTGCCTGCTGCGGGGGCAGCGGGGACACTCGTGTGCCTTGCTCAGCAGCTTGGGGACAGTTCCTGCAACGGGCACCTGGCATTCCCTTTCACCACACCGTGCCCTCACCACTCATAAACACAGGCTAAATACTGTCACCCCTGGGAGCCCCGGGAGTGGGCACAGGGACCTACCTGATGGGCTCCTGTATGGCCTGCAGCCACGACCAGCAGTGGGAGAAGAGGTGGAACATGGTCTGCAGCCCTGCCCAGAGGGGTGGCCTCTCTCCAGCACCTATGAAGAGAGCAGCCCAGCGTGTCCCTGTGCTTCATCCTCCTGCCTGGGCTCTCTCTTCACGGCAGGGAACATCTCATCCCGAGGTGCCCTGTCCCACGGCACAGCAGCGCTGCCTCCCCTCTGCTGCACACAAGCCAAGCCTGGAGAAAAACCTGTCCTTCTGGGCAATACCCCATGAGCACAGACCCTGCCCCGGCAGCCCCTCACATCAGGAGTGCCAGGCAGACTCTCACCTGCTCATCCCCACTGCACAGCCTCTGCTCACATGCCCTTTGCGTAGCAGCTGCTTAAATCTAATCTGGATTTAAATTACTTACTCCAGCAGGCTCCTTAATCCTGGTGGGTCAGCCTGGGCCAGTGGCCGCTGGGACATGGCTGTGGTGGGACTGCCTGCCACACTGGGTGACACAGCACTGGCTCACCCAGCCCGCTGCAGCCTCGTGTCCCCTCACTGGTTTGTGGTGGGGATGCTGCCTGGGAGCCCGTGTGGGCAGCACTGGGGGCCAGGAACAGCATCTCTGCCTTCTCACCACCCTGAGGGGATGTTTGTCTGCAGCCCCTGCAAGGAGCATCCCCTTCATGGTGTGCACAGCCCTGCTGCTCACCCAGGGTCCCCTCTGAGCCGCACTGGGGGTCATCACTGCTCACTGCTTGTGTTTCGTGCCCCAGCAAGGCACGGCCTGAGTGGCAGCAGGTCCTGAGCTCCCCGGGGTACAAACAGCGCCCAGCCCCAGCAGGAGCCTGCCTGGGAGCAGGGAAGTGGTGGAGACACTCAGACCACAGGGCAGAGAGTGGAGAAATAAAAGCCGCAGCTCCTCGATCTTCAGCTCTGAAGCTCTTATCTTGCTTCTCAGGTTTCCTGCTTCTTTTCCCAGCCAGAGCTGCCCTCCCTGGCTTGCTGCCACTGATGTGTGTGGAGGAGAAGTCACACAGGGATGTCTGAGCTGCAGGAGCTCTGGGTGAGGGTAGTGAAGTCAAGAGGGACAAAGGCATGAGATCCTTCAAAAGCCATACCCAGGAGCAGACAGGGAGCCTGCTGCCTCACGTCAGTCTGTGCTAAACCACCCAGCAGCAGCCACACTACCTGGACCAGCTGAGCACCACGAGCCAAAGATGCTGAGACACTGCCCTGGCCCCAGGGGTGCAAGCCCAGGATGGACACGGCCCCCTGCCCTTCTGTCCAGCCCCACACCCTTCTCCCCAGCCCCATATACTGTTGGGAAGCTTGGCACTTGTCCTGGGCAAGGGAGGTGCCCCAGTTCCATGCCACGGGCAGGCAGCCACGCATGGTTAATGGTTGATGAAATTTCTGTTTTGATATCACAGCCAGATGGCATCTTTGGGGTGACTGGTCACCCCTGTGCTGCTGATGGGGGACAGTGGCAGCACCTCCCTGTCCCCATCCCCATGGCCTTTCCCAGTTTGTCCCGTGCCTGTGGGGAGCAGCAGCAGTGGCCACACACACAGCGTGGGGCTGGCATGCTTTTTGCAGGATTAGCTGTGTGAGGGCTGAAATGATGTGCTCCAAGTGTCAGCTCTTGCATCTCTGTTTAGGGGTGGCACTGTCAGGGGATAGCCCAGCAGGGATAGGAATGTGCTGTGATATGAGCACAGGTGCTATAAATAGAGAAGTGCCATGTGTCAGGCAGCCCTGCAGGCGGTGGCTCAGCTTCTGAGGGGCAACAGGATCTGATCTCCCTCTGGCACCAGTGGATTTCCAGAGATCTCTGAACACTTGGGGTGCCACTGTTTTTAAAACAAGTGTCCAAAATCCCTGGTCAGACTGGAGCTGGGGGACAGGGAAACCCCCCAGGAGCCTGGGGCAGCTCCAGGTCACGGCTCCCAACGCAGGCACACCAGGATCAACAGCCAGGAAAACCTCAAAATCCACCCCAAATCTGCTGAAACCCACCCTCGGCTCCAGAGAGGCTGCACGAGGGCCAAGCCCACACGGATGTGTGTTCTGCTGGGCCTGTGCTCGGGTTTCAAGTGGCCCCGTGCCCACACAGCCGGCCACCCTCTGCCAGGGCCACCGGGCCTCCCCAGGCGGTGCCAGCGGGGACCCGCAGCAGCCATTCTCGTTTCCTTGGTGACTGTTGCCAGGTGAGAAACTCTAAGGCAGAATTTATTATCTTGGCAGATAAATGAAGATGTTCCTCACCCGAGCTGTAAGCAGCCCGTGCCCCGGCACGGCGCCAGGCTGGAGCCCCTAGTGCCACCAGTGCCAGCAGCAGCCCCCGAGGAGGGCAGTGCCCAGGGTGCCCCTGGCATCGCTCCCCGGAAGGCAGCACGTGCTTTGGGGCTATTTCTGCCCGCTGGATGCCGCAGGAGAGGGGATGAGGCGAAGGCACAGGGAGCACGGAGAAGCACAGAAGGCCGCGGGCTGGCGGGCTGCCCTGCCCTGGCTCCACTGAACCCCGTGAGTACGTGCCCCAGGTGGCATCGGGCACACTGGGAACCCCTCTGACACCCCGGGGCACAGCTGGGGGGACGGCCGGGGACGTGGGGAGTGATGGTTTGCAAGGGAACAGGTGGGCAGAGCAGTAGGGGCTGCCTGAGGCTTGAGCGCCTGGAGCTGAGGTGACGCCAAGCCAAGGTGATGGCAAAGACCAAAAAGTCCTGGCAGGAATATTAGCAAGCTGTTCTGCTTTGCTCGGAACCACATCGACTCTGCCTGAAAAGGGGTGTGTGGTGAGCAAGGACACACACAGGCTTTGAGGAGAGCCTCGTCTCTCTATTTAAGGTGTCATATGGCAGCACACTGAGGCCGGAGGTATGCAGACATCTGGAGGTATGCAGACATCATCTGCATTGTCCCTTTAAATCCCAGCCCAGCGCTGGTGGCTGACGATAACCCCGGATCACACCAGCTCCCAAATCCCAAGAGCTAATTACAGGCAAACGCCCCGCAGCCAGGCTGGGAACGCAGGATATTTACAGCCTGTGACACCCAGACCTGTTGGTGAGGAACTGGGGCATGTGGAGGTTTGCTGGCATGGCACTGGGGAGGGTGGATGGTTTGCACCCCATTGCCATGCAGCCCTTGTGGGCAACCATTCCCCGAGCTCTTTTGGGCAAGGGAGATGTTTTTTCCAGTGTTGTGTGCTCCCCCTCACGGGTACCATCGCCCTGTGTCGGATGCAGAAGCGGGCAGGAAGCACGCAGGGAGCTGTTTGCTTTTCACCCAGTTCCTGGCAGGGTGCTTCCCAGCCAAAGCATACACAAATTTCTAGGAGAGGCTTGGATCTGAGCGCTCTGTTTGCTCTGCTCCCTGCTGCCTCCTCGCTCCTTGCACCACGCACACAGCTCTGGGAAGGGCCAAGCCCTACCCAGGCTCCTACAGTGGTTTTGTTGGGAGCATTTTGGTGCTCCTGCTGCTTTCCTGCAGGGGGGAGAGGAGAGTATAAACTGTTCCTCCTGCCTGCCAGGGTGCCCAGGGCACACACAGGCACAGCCCCGCTGGGTTAGAACTCTGCCAGGGCTGTGTACTCTTACAGCAGGTGGGACCAGGGGAATCAGTTATTTAAGGGTCATTTTAACCCTTCCTGCCTGGTTTAGTGTTACAGCATCACCCACTGCCTGTGCTGGGACTGTAGCCAAGGAGGCACGACTTCAAAATGTGTAATTATCACAAAGACCTGTGAATGCACCCAAAGGTAACTCTGCTTTCTCAGTAAAGAATTGAAGCGTGAGGCAGCGCTGACATGGCCTGAGCTTTGCCTGCAAGCATCCTGGCTCCTGCAGCACTGAGCCTCGTGCCCAGATCCCAGGGGGCTCAGCACAGGAGGCCTCCAGTGAGATTTAGAGGGATGAGATCCTCAGCACAGATACCAGATTCTCTCCCAGCAGGGTCAGAGTGAGGCTGGATGAGGAACTGGAGTGGTAAAAGCAGTCCCATGATGAAGCAAATGGAATAAATATTTCCTCAACCAGAAACTATTCCACAGACTGCTGGGGCAGGGAAAATTACAGCTGAGTTACTGTGAAAGCAATGCAAAATCCAAACAGTTTAGGCTGTGGAAACCAGTCATTTGCAAAGCTATTTCCAAACTAAGTAAAAAATTCCCAGCTCACAGATTCCTGGGAAGCTCCCAGCCCTGCCGGTAGGGCAGCGTGGCTGCCATGAGGGGACAAAACTGTGTCCCCTTCTCACATCCCCATCAAGCTGGGGGACACTTTGTGAGTGCCACTTCATGGGCACAGGGGGCACTTTGCTGATGCACACGTCCCCAGCCGAATGTTTAACCCCCGGTGCAGCCCGTGCTCCTGAGCAGGTTTCAGGGCTGCAGTCAGGGAGCTTGGCCAGCCCCACACCCCGAGCACTGCCTCCACCTCTGTGTGCAGGGCTATATTTGGGAAGGCAGCAGAGTGCTCTTGGCATGTCCCAACGAGCCCCGTGGGAGCGGTGTCTGCTCTGGGTCCTAGAGAGGAGCGCTGGGGGAGCGTGCTGGCAGCTCTCCCCACCTGGGCTCTCCAAGAGCCTGGCTCGGAGCTCTCTGTGTTTTCCAAACAATTTTCTCTTCTCCTTTTAGAGGAGCTGAGCCACCAGGCAGGCGTGTGTGAAGCAGACAGGGTTATTTTGAGACTGAGAGCCGGTGAGGAAGTTTGCTCCCGCCCCACGTACAGCCCAGGCTCCCACACACAAACGTCCCGGCACATCCAAGGGCTGGGAAAGCTGCACAGCAAACCCTGCGGTGTCACACGGTGGGCGGCCACCACCGGCACTGCCCTTTGTGCAAAGTGTGTTGTGTGAACACTGGGATTAAAATAAAAATGATGGAGGCTGGGATTAAGAAATTAATGAAGCTGGGATGCTGTCCAGGGCAGGGCAGGCACTTGAGGAAACAGGAAAATTGACATCTGCAGGTGGTAGTGAGGCTCAAACTGATGCCTTGGGCACCCCCAGTGATCCTCGTGGGTCCCTTCCAGCTTGGGAGATTCTGTGACTCCGTGTCA